ACCCTTACCACAATCTCCTGTCTGCCTGTAAATCCTCCCTTCCTTCATTTATTCACATTTATTGAGTGCCACCTGTATTCCAGGCACTGTTCTAGGCACTGAGACAGGAAAAAAAAAAAAAGCAGCAGAAGAAGATGGGGATGATGATAGCAAACCTGTAATGTTTTCTATGTGTTACACTCTTGGTGTATAGTATTATCTTCATAATAATCCTGTTAGTTATGTGCCATTATTATCTACATTTTAAAGATGAGGACATTGATGCTCAAAGAGATTTGAAAGCTTGCCCAAAGTTACTCAGCCAGTAAGTGATGGAGTTAGAATTTGGAATTCAGACCTAGATGGTCTGGGTTCAGAGCACTTGCCTGATCCTGCCTTTCTAAAATAAGATGGGAAATGGTCTCAAACAAAGGGAAAAGTGCTCCGTACTAGGCCTGATCAGGTCAGAGGAGACGGATTGCCAATCCTGCCTGAAGGGGTGTCAGGAAGGCTCTGCAGCATCTTCCTCTTTAGGGCCACTTATCACCTGGCCCTCCTTCTCTTTCTGTGACTTTTTGGAGCCCTTTCTCCCACACAGTGGCAGGCCATCTCCCTGACGGTCATCGAGAAGGTCCAGATTGCAGCCATAGTTCTGGGCTCTCTCTTCCTCGTTGCCAGCATCTCCTGGCTCATCTGGTCCTCACTCAGCCCTTCAGCCAAGTGGCAACGGCAGGATCTGCTCTTTCAGATCTGCTACGGCATGTATGGCTTCATGGATGTCGTCTGCATAGGTGAGGGCACCTCTCTCCCCCTTGCCTGCTCAGTGTTTTCCTTCAACTCACATACTTGACTCTCCCTGCCCATTCCTTCAGCTCCACAGCCACATTTTCTACCATTGGGAGCCTTGAGGGCTATCTTGGTGCCCCTCCCTTCCCTGCTTCTTCAGGCCTTTTACAGACCCCATCTCCTCACTCTGGAGAAATACTTGCTTCAGTACCTCTAGCCTAGGTCTGGGCAGCAGGTGACCCTGGATTTCTTATCCTTTTTGCTCAGGCCTCATCGTCCACGAAGGCTCCTCTGTCTACCGCATCTTCAAGCGCTGGCAGGCAGTGAACCAGCAGTGGAAGGTCCTGAATTACGACAAGACCAAGGACATAGGAGGAGATGCAGGGGGAGGGACGGCAGGGAAGCCGGGCCCCAGGACCTCACGGACGGGCCCCCCCTCTGGGGCTACCAGCCGCCCCCCGGCTGCCCAGCGCATGCGGACGCTCTTGCCTCAGCGCTGTGGTTACACAATCCTGCACCTCCTTGGACAGCTACGGCCACCAGATGCCCGTTCCAGTTCCCATTCTGGCCGAGAGGTTGTCATGAGAGTCACCACGGTCTGAAAATGAACTCCAGGAGCAGGGATCTTGAGTCGATGCATTGGCCAGAGATGAGCTGTCATGGCTGCTGGAGGTACCTCCTGGACAAGGTGTTTAGGGCACACTGCCCCCACCACTGAGGATCTCTGGGGGCAACCTCAAGCTGGAGACATTGTCTGGCCTGTGCTACCCACTGGGTAGAGACACCTGGATGACATTCTAGCCCCCACTGATAGCTCCTCACATTCATCCTGGGGCAGCCAGTGGGCAGGTGGGGAGAGCATTTTTTCTTCCCTAGAGAACCGTCCTTACCTCAGCTCCTAGGGCCTCTAGCCCCCCAGCTCCACCATGGTGACTTGGTGAAGGGGGACCAATGCCAGAAGAAAGGGGTTGTAGACCCCCTATTCCCCACCCTATGGCCACAGGGCAGCTGGCAATAAGACTAGTATACATTGACCTCCCGTTCCCTGCATGAGGGCGGGGGGGGGGGGGACCTCGCCCTGCTCCACCCCCCCATTGCATGGGGGGAGGGCATAAAGAATCATTTATATGCACGTGGAGACTCCTTTCTCATCTGGGGCCTTTCTGGAGGGTTGGGAGGTGTGGGGAGGTTTCTCTGCAGAGGTTGCAAATCCTAAATGCAGCAGTGGGTTCTGAGTTGGAGGTGTAACTCCCACTTGCTGGCGAATAATTCAGTGGCTGCTAGGTGGCAGTGCTCAGAGGTGTCTAAGGGGTGGACCTGCCACCTGCAAGTTGTATGATTTAGGAAAAAAAAATCTCTCCGCCGTGGCTTTCCTGTCTACCTCATAGGGTTGGAATGAGGATAAATGAGGGACAGGTTGAAAGCCATTGCAAAGAAAATTAGTGATGGCGTAAAAAGATTTCTAGACTAGTTGGTTGTCCATTTGTTTCAAATAGTAGCTGGTTAACAAATTCCAGAATGTGTTTTTCACCTGGAGTTTCACAGAGCCTTGGAAATTTGTGTTGAGTGTCATAATACAAATGGAAACATGGTGGGGGGGATAGAAACTGCAAATATGAAGGATGGCGGTTATTTGCAAAAAAAAAATAAGAGCTCCCGCAGCACCCTAAACACTGGGAGCTGGGGAAGGATGGAGCTATCCTTCTTCCTCTGGGGATCTTGTGGGTCCTATCAGTCCTTCCAAGATAATGTGTTCCACCCAGAGAAGTGGTGTGAAATGAATTTGGACTTACTTGGAGTGAGACAGAATGTCCCAATGTTATGGATCTCCAGCCTTGGCTTAAGCTTCTTCTATGGCAGTTCAGGGTCACAGGTCTGACCGTGTGCCCCAGCTAGTGGTATTCACTGGAAGGTGTTGTGCTTGGAGGCAGCAGTGTAGAGGGCTGTTGTTATAGAGAAAGGGTTTGGGAAGGACTGGTTAAAATGTGGGTCAGCCTGAGGCCCGCTTCCTTTCTCCTGAGGCCTTGGGGCTGTGTATTATATGAATTATGGTGTCTTTTAAGTGGACTATTCATCAGCAATTAAAATAATTACTTCATATATTGTTAAGTCAGATCCAGATGCCTTTCCTATTATTGGTCCTTTTCTCAGGAAGGTTCTGTTCTGCCTCCTCCCTGGGGATGTTTTGGGGGAAATGCTTCTCTACTAAAGGTCGCATACCCTAGCCTTGGAAATGGTCTTCCCCGTCCCTCCCTAAAAGGGTATTGGCTGCTGTCCATGGTGCTGGCACCCAGACTTACCTGGGAATGTTCTCATTGAAACTAGACTCAGGTTTGAGTCACCTGGAAGTATTGAGGTGTATCACTTCTAACCTCTGAGGAGATCAGAAAGAGGGGACAGAGGCCAAGTGCCCCATTTTTTTTCTCGTGGGATATTATTTCTGTAGAGAGACAACCTTCCATATTCTCCACCTGGGAAGACAGAAGTGCCAGACTTTCCTGATTTGCTGTTCACAAAATAGCTGGTGGAGGTCAGAAAGGAGAGGGCAAATCAGAGTGACTGCTAGTACCTGTCCTGGCAAATATGATCGGTAGGTATGCCACAGGTGGGGTTTCTTGTGCCAGGCCCAGACTGTCCCTCATGATGGCCCTCCATGGAAGCTTAGATGTACTGAAGAACACACAAACACAAACACACCCTCTCCAATTCCACTCTGTGTCCTAAAACTGGGCCAAGTGAGATAGTATGTTTCCCTCCCTTTCAGTACCATCGGAGGTCTTGCTTGGTATGGGGGTTGGGACCAGCAATAAGTATGGTCCCTTCTCCTTCCTTTTTTCCAACCTAAAGAGATTCTTGTCATGAAGGGGTGATGGGAACTGCTATCCTCCTCAAGTAAATCAGTCATACTTGCCCAATGAGGAATGTGGGTGTACAGAATTCTCATCACTGATTCCAGGGGGAAAGAGTGTGAGAGGAAATTGGGCTTATTCTCCCTCAAAGTTCGGATCTGCTAAAAGTCAGGGCACTCAGGTTCAACTTAAGCTTTTAGTCATAGGGGAGTGGGGGTGGACAGAGAATACAGTAGAAGAGTCGAGAGGTGGGGCAGTGAAGGCACAAAAACCTTGGTCTCTGCATAAGGCCTCGGGTAAGCTGTGCCCCTCTGTAGATCTTACAAAGATAGATGTCCTCAGAAGGCCCAGTGGCAACCAGTGTCTGTAGTCAGGGAGCCCTGTCTAGGGCAGGGGGCCAAGCTGGTGGAGGAGGAAGAGGAGGAAGTGTCTCCATCTCCATCCAGCTAATTGGAATGGAGAGGAGCAGGAGGCAGGGGGGCAAGTCCTGACATGGGGAGGGTAATCTAGGCTAGAGAGGGGCGGCAGGGAGTGTGCTGAGAGATTTATTTGTATGGAAGATGAGTTAATCTGTATACACTGCAAGGGGAGAACTGTGCCCAGCCTCTGGGGTGGCCAGAGAATGCTGACTCAGGGAAACAGAGGATCCTTCTGCCCTACCTGCTTCTGCCTCAGTGCCCCAGGGCTTCTGGATGCCTCCACACTCAGCTTTCATCCTGTCTGTCTAGCTTCACTTCTGTGCATGTATCCCTGTCTTTCTCTGAAGGAAATTACCTCAGAGCAACTTTTCCAGAGAGGGCAGATACCCTTTGGTCCTAGCAGTCCAGGTTCCAGAAGTACTTCCATCAGAGTCAATTGCCTCTGGCCATCTCTGCAAATCCCTAGCTCCCCAACCCATTTCTACAGGCTAACCCTTGGCATTACTTTTCACCACCACCCCCTTAATCTCTTACAGGGAGCCAGACTCTGGCTCTTCCCAGTACAGACAGAAACGTGTTGGGTTTGTGAGGCGAACCACTCTCCCAGGTGTCTAGACCTCCCATTGTTATGGAGGTCACTCCCAGGACAAGAGAAATCAAAGCAGGGGATTTGGGTGAGGGTCTTGCCTCCTGGACTTGTAGGAAGTAGAAATGGAAGAGAAGTAAGTCAAAAACAAGGATGGAACATTTGATTCTTTTATTTCAAAACTATGAATATTAAAAAATACCAATATATAAAAGGAAGGCTTAGGCAGGTATAGGCCCAAAGGTGTCTCTGCCCAGGAACTAAGTGGTGAGACAAGCCAACCTCTAATGGTGACCAGAGAGTCAAGGAGAGTTTTAAAAACATAAACCAGGTGAGGGCTGACTCACCTTGCTAGAGACAAGATGAGGAAAAAGGAGCTGCTTACCCCTTCTGCCACATGGTCCAGATTCAGTCTGAGAACCTGTATGGCACCACCCAATCAGGGGATATAAAGACGGAATAAGGTCTCATTCTTCCTCTCAAAGAGCTCACATGCAAGAAGAAAAGACCAACCAGGTGCAGACCAGATGCATAACTGAGCTCATGTGGTGGTAAGTGCTTACCCAGCAGCTCCTGAACACTGTGGAAGCCCAAAAAGGCAGTGGTGGAATCCCTCCTCAGGCCACCCAACACTATGAGTTCAGATCTGAGCTGGCCTTTGAAGGATGCGTATGATTGAGACCAGGAGAAAAGCTGAGTAGGCAGAGGGATTCTGGTTTTCTCAGGACCCGAAGGGTAATGCCAAGGCATATTTCACACCTTGGTCAGGGCTGCTTCAAGCAGTTTGCTAGGGTCCTTCCAACCAGTCTAGTCAAATAAACAGGTCTCAGGGGGAATCCATATCTCTTGGTCTTGTGGCTAATAAATCCCTACAATGAGAGAAAGGGTGATGGTGATAGCCTCCTTCCACAGGACTATCTATCTACAAACTGCAGGTTGATGCTTCTCTCAGGTACTAGGACAGTCCGGGTCATGGGTCGGATTGGGGCAGCACCTGGCTCAGGCTTCACCTCAAAGTGGGTCAAGATCTGGAAAGGGAAGAAGAAGGCTCTCACTTTGGGAGGGGTCTATAATGGTGGGTTTGATTGGTAAAGGGTATTATTAGTGTTAGGTTGGTCAATTCTGAAATGACACCCGTGGTCAGTAAGGAATTTCTTAAGGGATTATGGCAGGGCAAAAAAATAGTCCAAATATCCTTGCTTACTCTAGACTTAAAGCAGAATTGCTAAATTTCAGAGGATTAGGCTTACCAAGTCATACATTTTGCTATGCTTGTCAGAAGACCTCATAGCTTTAGAGGGTCAGGGTCTCTCATGTCTGGGGAAGGTATGTCCAGATCACTCACCTGAGCCAAAGCCATCTGCAGCTCCAGCTCTGCCAGGCGTCTCCCCATGCAGCTGCGCTTGCCGAAGCCAAAGGGAAGAGAGGCAAATGGGTGGGGGGCTGGACCTTCCCCCAGCCATCGAGCTGGACGAAAAGAATTTGGTTCTGGAAACTGGGTAGGGTCCCTTGAAGTGGCATAATGACACAATGTGACCAGCGTCTGATGGAGAAGGAACATAAACTTGTCAGTTTGGGCCCACAGAAGCAGGGAGGGACATGGAAAAGAGGATATATGGATTGGAGAAAAGGCAGGCACTGGTTGGTGATGGGGTAAGTTTTCTGGGGCTACTTTTGGAATGATTGCTCCACAGCCCCAGTACATTCCAGAGAGAGGCATTCAGGCCAAAGGGAAGGTGAAGGGCTTATATGGAGTGTTTGAAAACAAGATGGGGCCTATGATTGTGAGGGATGGCTTAACAAAAGGGGCCCATAGCCTCTACTCACATTTTTGGGGATAATATAGTCACCCACGCGAATGTCTTTGTCTGGGACACGGGAATTTCCAGGTACCACAGGGTAAAGTCTGGATTGCAGAACAAGAGGGAAATAGCAAGGTGACGCTGGGGGCTGTAGCCTTCCTCTTGACTCCAAGCCCTCGAAGTCCAAAGCCATTCTTGGTCAGGAGTATGCATTTTCCTTGCACTTCCTCCCCACTCCCATTCACCATCTCCTTCCCCAGCCCTTCCCAACATTTTCTTTAGCTTCTTCTCTCCTGTCCCCTCACCTGAGCACTTCCTTGACTACTGCCTTCAGCAGGGGCAGCTGGGATAGAGCAGTAGCTGAGGGGTGGGAATTGGAGCCAGGGCCCAGGGCCGCTGTGATCTCAGAGTGGAGAGCTGTCTGGACTTCCGGGTGCCGGGAGAGTTCATACAGAGCCCAGGAGAGTGTGTTGGATACCTGGGGGCAAAGTTGAGAATCTCAGAGGTGTTGAGAGTAGACAGCCAGTAAAGAGGGCAGAATATGAGGCCGTCTGGAGTTCAGGAAATGTTAAGCCAAGCTGGCCGAAAGGGTCACAGTGGATCCCCTGCAGCAGCAAAGTGGCCCCTGAAACTGGAAAGGCTAAGCTCTGGAAGTGGGGCTCCCAACATGGAAAAGAGCCTCACTGTGTCCACTCCAGCCAGCAGCAGCTCCGTCACATTGCCCAGGATGGATGGAGCAGGCAATTCTTCCCGGAACAGGAAGTAGGTCAGGTGTGTCCCAGATCCCAAGTCCTCCTCAGGCTTTCCCTTGCTCCTTAAGGCTACCTCAGCCTCCCGCCTCTCCACGTGCTGCTGGGCTGTGTGGGGGAGAAGGTACAGGGTTGCCTCACCATCCATAAACAGCTTTATGTTCCCCTATCCCCACTTCATTTCCGGGCCTTACCAAATGCAAACATCTGGTCCCAGTCTCGGCAGAGGCGGTCCCAGGGTCCGGGGACGAGGCGGTGAAGCCAGCTGGGCATCGCCAGGGTCAGTAGCGTGGACACAAACACCGATCCCACCGCGCGGATGAAGGTCTCTGTGTCCGGAGGCACTTCGGCCTCCAGGCAGCCCAGGCGGGAACCCAGGAGCACCGCCGCTATGCCTGGGCGGGAGGGGGCGCTGTCAGGGCACCCGGAGACCAGGCGGGAGCCTCCCACGCTTGCCCCTGTCTTGGGACTCACCTTCTAGTCCAAACTTGTAAAACTCTCCAGCCACGTCCCGAACCAGGGTGGGCGGCCCAGCACCGCGTCCCCGTTGGTGCCGCAGTCGCCGCACAAGGTCATGGACCACGTCGTCCAGGGTCCCGGCATATCGGGAGGCCGCCTGAGGCCGGAGGAGCAGCGGGGCCAGGAGGCTACGGAGCTTCTGCCATTCTTCGCCTTCCCTGCGGGTGTGCAGAGAGGGGGCGCATCAGGGCGGATGGGGGTGTGTGGAGGCGGCCGACCCGGCTGGCTGCGGTGAAGATGGAGCGTATTCGGCTGGGGTGCCCAGGAAAAGGATTGCAGCTGCTCCCTTGGGGTACAAAACCCTGCTCCTGCCTGCGCCTGCTTTCCGTCCCCCTTCCTCGTTACTCATTTCCTGGCCGGGGGGCAGGGAGGGCTGCGTTCCTGGGTAACTTGAGTCACGGAATCTTACATTCCTTATAGGTCCTGGTACCTTCGCTCCTTCAACAGATTTCCAGGATTCCGGACTCCAAAGACAAGGAGATGGGTGGGGGACCAAGGCAGGGTTCTACCTGAGCCTGAGCGAAACAGGCTGAGGTGGGAAGCACAATGTGCCAGACGGTTGGGGGGGGGAAAGGCCAGTCTCCTTCCACACCCCGAGACAGACTGTTCCCAGACCAGCTACAGGAGAGGGACGCAGCAGCCGGGCGTTGGGGCTTTTGGGCCAGGGAATACTCACGCGGTGAGCAGCCCGCAACCCCGCTGCTGGCGGCGACGGTGCTCTGCCCAGGGTGAGAAGCTGCAGCGCTCCGGCTGGGGCCCCTCCTGTCGCAAGAGCTGCTCGACGAGGGCAGGGGCCGCCACGTACACAGTGCGCACGGTCCCGAAGCTGGCCAACCACACGGGCCCGAAGCGCGAAACGCCCTGCACCTGGGAGAACGGGCATGGAGGACACTGGAGACCCCAGCCGGGGCCCTCCAGCTTGGACCATGTCAACGTCAAGGGTGTTGGCTGGGTTTTGCAAGAGGGAGCTTGTTTCTTCACTGGCTCCCAGCTAGTATATGGCCGTGATGCTGCAAACCCTTCCTCCTTTTCTTTCCCCCACTTCCCATCCCTAGGAAGTTTGAGTGTGATGGGCAAAACAGAGGGACTCTGCACAAAGCAGATATTCAGGACTTCTCTTAGGTCACCCGGCCTGAGCCCAGGCGAAGAAATCCTTGAAGGCTCCTCACGTGGACTATCTCAGAACGAGCCCGTAGTAACTGAAGAGAGCCTGTAGCTTTAAGTCCGACGCGCGGGGAAGGTACTGTGCATTTCCACCTCCCCCGCACTTGTTCTAGACCAACCTGGCCCCCACTTCAGTACCTCAAGAAGGCGCTTTTTGAGCGCACTCTTCTGCTGGCTGTGGGGATGGACCCCGCGCAGGTCCAACCACCGCCTGCAGTCCCAACTTTTCTAATTCATGGGCATCTGTTGTCACTGGCCCTCCTCCTACTCTGTGTACTAGTCTGTCTTTTCTGGTGTTGTCAAAGCCCGTTTCCCCAGCATTCCATTCCCATGAACGTCCACCTCTACCTGCAGCTCGTGTAGGCGTGACAGACCCCCCTTGCAGAAGAGTTCAGCAAGGAAGACTGGCATGGAGGGGCCTGGAATGTCCGCCAAGCTCCGGGGCGCTGAGTCGGAGCCTCGGGAACCCAGTGAGGTGCCCAGCTTGGGAGCACAGTGGACGCGCTGGAACACTCTGGAGGCCAGCTTGAGGGTCTGGGTCATGGTCTGGTTCAGGGAACCCACGAAGGAGAGGACTTCTCCCAGGCATCTTGCTTGCTTTCCTGAGCCCCTATTTAACCTTTGGGTGAGATAGTGGCAACGCCCCCTCTTCAAGCTCCTCAGCCAATCCCCTCCTAAGTGGTTGAGCTGAAGATTAGCACCCAGGCACAGTAGGCGGGGCTGGGGTTATCTTGCAGCTCTCTTGGGTCTCTTGTTGCTATGACCCTCTTGGGAAGGGAGGTCTGCCTTGGTTCCCCCTTTCTGGGCTGGTGCCCTGGTCCAGTTGCTTAAAGATATCTTCCTGGTAAAGTCTCTTTGGTGAGGTTTAGGATACTGAGGTACAGAGTCAGTCTCTAGTATTCTCACTTCCCCAGGGAGCCAGGCCCTCTTGGGACCATTGTCAGGAATTCCCCATCCTTCAGCCTTTGGGAAGGGAGGAGGCACAGCTGTAGCTGTCTCCATATTCTTGGTGTATGGGGCTGTGCCTTCTCTGTAGCTAAGCAGAACTTGCTGGCACTCCCACAGCTTTCCCACCTCCTGTACCTGACACTGGGCAGATGGTGGGTAGGTTAATGGGTTAAAATGGCTCCAGGAGCCTTCATCTTTGCTCCTTGGGAAGGAATTGGTCTTTTAGGTCAACAAACACTGTCTTTCCAGCCATGGGAACCTAGGGCTTCAGGAGCAGAAACAAAGGAACCTTTTACAAATTAGAAAAGTTGAGAGATTTCTCTGGGCTCCTTGATGGAATAAGGGCTATGTGAGTGCTCTAATCTCCAGCTGACTCAGTCCTCTTTGAGAGGAGGGGGATTTCTAGTCAGCGGTCCGTTTTTCAGCCTCCGCTTTTAGCCTCAGAATCCTGCACACTTTAGTTTTCTGCTCCTCACTCCTCCACCCTGCTGCCACTGGGCTCTGTGCCAGTCAGCTAGCTCTGAAGTTCTGGAATCGAAGGTCAACATGAAAAAGGAGAGGGTCTCCACCACCCTGACCCAGGACTCTCCAGAGACAGCAACAATAAAGACAGCAGATTCCTCAGGTCAAGTTTCAGGCAGGGAGGGGATTGGGGGGTGGGGATGGGAGAAGGCATGTGATACATGCTCTAGCCTTTCCCGAGAAATAGCAGCATGGGCAGGGGCACACACACACACGTTATCCCCAGGACTGCAAAGTAGACACAAGTAGACAGGCAATTTGAGTCTAGCAAGCTGTTTAGATGGATAGTGGAGAACTGCATTCCTCACTTTCGCTGAGAAGGAGAGATCCCAGAAGAAGGGAGTGCTAAGGAAAAGCAAGACCCCACACCCTTCCAAACATCCCTTCTGGTCCAAGGTCTTTTGACCTTCCCAGTTAGCTTCTTTTGCTTTCTGTTGGTGGTAGACAGGCAAGAAGATGAGAGGTCAGTTGTGAATCTCAGGCTTCTGGCTTGGGAAGTTCTCCCAACTTCTTTGAAAAACTGTCCCCTCTTGGCCCTGGCAGGCTCAGCTAGGAAGGTCCTGTGGTCAAGCTAAGGCAAGGTAGGCTGTCAGTGGCCAAGAGGGTGGGACTGGGGGGTCACTGGCTGGAGGGTGGGATCCTGTATTCTTCGGAAGATGGCTGGGAAATTCTTGCCTCCGTTGCGTAAGACTTTCTTTCCTTCCTCAGTTGAGGTGCCCAGATGTCCCACAATGGGGTCTTCACTCTGGGAAAAAGAAGGATTCCATAAGTCCTTGCCCACCTTTCAGACGGCCCCTGGCCCTGAGACTCTCATCCCATCCTCCCGGCACTGAGCTGGGTTCAAAGAATACAGACCACTTTGGAAAAGGCCTGCATTGTCACAACTCCCCTCAGGGCCCCCACCTACCAGTTCCTCCAGGGGCACGCGCTCAAACAGGGGGTGCCTTTCAAAGTGGGCGCACATCCAGTCATGTAGCTCCAGCACATCAGTTATGGTATATACGAGCCCCTGCAGAGGCAAAAATCACCCGAGATGGGGGGGCTGCATGCAGCTGAGCAGGGCGATGATGGGAGTGGTGGCCTGAGTCCTAAATGCTTCATTTATTAATTAAGTGGAATTCTTAGTGGAAGGTCTCTGAATAGGCCACTCACCCCTCCCTCCCTCGCACTCCCAACTCACCCCGACTCTAAGCACGTAGGCATATTCTGCCAGCAGTGTGGGACTGATGATTCGCCACTTGTGCTTCGTCCGCTTGAAATGTGGGTCAGGGAAGAGGAAGAACATCTTTGTCAGCTGTGAGACAGACAGGCATTGACAGGGTTGAGAGCCTGGCTTCAGTGCCATACCTGCCTACCAGCCTTACCCACCGGAGCCCCTCCCCACCTGGCCCTTGCGGAAGAAGTTAGGAAGGTGTTTCATGGCATTGCTACGGAGACAGGCGATGTTCTGGAAGCCACCTCCAGGAGCTGCTCGAAGGGCCCGAATCCGGTCTTGTACATAGTCTGAGACTTTCACCCGGATCTCCAGACCCAGAATCAGTGTGTCCGGGAACAACGGTGACAGTTCCACTGGACACAGAAATAGGAATGGAATCGTCAACCTCATACTTATAGGAAGTACAAAGGGGTCAAGAAAAGAAAGGAACTGCCAATCTGCAACTGCCAAAATCACGAATGGCAAGTGTGGTTGGAGAGATACGTACGTGGCTGGTTCTACGTTGGAGAAGAGGGTTAAGGTTAGGGTTAGGCTTAGATCCAAAGACTATTACCCAGACTGGAAGTGGGAGGGTCTGGGAATACATGTATATTCGCAAGTGCTTCCGAGTTTTCGGTGTTTTCACACATTGTCTCAGTTAATCCTCCTAACATTCTGTGGTAAATTGAGAAGATGAGGATACTGCGGTCAGAAATGCCCAAGGTCACAGAGCTAAGAAAAGGCAGAACTTGAACTTGAAACAAGCTCTTCTGCCCCCAAGTACCATGTTTTTCCTCTCTCTGTCATACTGTTACCTCTGTGGGAAGATCTAAAAATAGAGAAGTGGCCTGGCATGCAGGGCTGGGACAATACAGACAATACAGGAGGAACTTGAAAACACAAGAGTAGAGCAGAAACGATGAGTTTTGGTGAAGGATGGGGGAGGAGAGGGAGAGTGGTGGAATCCCTCAGAAAGACAGTTCAGGATCACTGGCTACAGTGATTAATCTCTGACGCTTGTGCTGACCAGCTCACTGACCCGGCACCTTGCAGGGGAAATGGCTCAAGGAGGGACTGAGGCCAGGGGTGGGGCCAGACAGGACAACCCAAGTTCTAAGAGGCATTTGAGTCAACACCCTCCCTTCTCCAGGACAAAGGCCACAGACCCAGAGTACGGGGAAAGCAGAGGTTCTCCACACTGATGTCACAGCACTGGTGTCTGGTCCGAAGGGGAAAGGCCAACTGTGGCCCCCACCAAACCTGCTGAGGTAGCAGAACCTAGACATTGCCTCTCCATGCCCTAGAGAAAAGGCCAGAGTGTTACCTAACAGGCCACCATAGCCACAGCCTATGTCTGCAAACTCCACTTGGGCCTGGGCTCTCTTTTCTTTCTTATCCTTTGGGTCATCGTGGCTCTTATTTTGAGTCAGTGGAGTGAAGAACTCTGGGTATAGCTCGGACCAGTCCATCTCTTCAGGCTTCACAGGGCTATTGGAGAGAAGACACGAGGGACATGAGAAGGTTGGTCAAGCCATTGCAGAAGTAGTACTACATGTGTGTGGGCAGATGGATAAGGGTGGGAGGTAAATGGGAAGAGCTATTCTCAAAAATTCTGTAACAGTGGGCTCTGTGGTCTCTAGCAGACACAATGGAAACCACCCTTAAACCCCAGTGTGAATCATAGGCCCATCATGAGGCTCATGATTGCTGACCTGCCCATCTCCACTTCTAGGAGTTGATGTGACTCTGGTCAGGCAGCTCTCCTTCCTGGGTCCCAAGTTCCCTTCCCCCAGAGATTGGCTGCCCAAGGCACTGGGACCTTACTTACTCTGTTTATGTGCTCTATGGGAAGAGGATGGATTAAGGTGTGGGTGGGATGTGTGTTTATGTTTGTCTTTTTATTAAATCCCATAAACGAAACCGAAAGGTGGAAACTACGTTCCGCCTACAACACTCCAGTCTAAGTTACTCTCTTTCCAGACTTACACCACAATTGAGACTCGGGGCAGATCGCCACGCCCCCTCCCAGCCCTCCAACTCCGCCCTCTCCTAAATCTCCCGATCCACCTCTAACGCTGACGTCACCCAGCCAAGCCTCCTGGTCCCTCTGTGACCCTGCCGACCGTCCCAGAACAGCTCTTCCGAATTGCTGCGGGATGCTGCAAACATTCCGCCCTCCTTTGCCTCCCCCTGCTCCCTCCCCCCTGCCCTGCTCACTCACTAACGCAGCGTGTGGTCAGCCATGGGGTTGGAGTGAGCACGTTGCCGATAGTAGCGCTTCTGGGGCTGCGGGGCCTCCGCTCCCGCCGCTTCCCCACTCTCAGCTCCCGCCATGATCCCCAGTCCGGGGTTTCACCACTGAACACACGTGGAGACCCAGGCTCGAGGCGCAGGATAATGACGCAATCAGGCACGTTGCAAGTCAACCCCGCCTCTTAAAGACCCAACAGTATACTCCGCCGACTTGCGCAGCGAGGGTGGGCGGCGGCGGGAGCGGTGGGCGTTCGCGGCGCGGGTCTCCAGCTGGACTGGCAAAGTCAGTCCTGGCACCCAACCCCTTTGGTTAGCCCGCTTCTGCGTGGTCTGGGTTACTTTCCTAGTTGCAGGCACCTGTGCATCCCGCAGGTGAGAGGAGTCCCAGGACTCCCCCCTTCCTACAGGAAAATCCTCACTCCTCTCCCCTCTCCCCGGGTCTCAGACCTGTCTGCCCCGTCTGCCCCGCGAAGTCCGACGTGAGCCCCGTCGGGTGTGCGCTGGGGACCGGAGCGGGAGGGGCAGCTTCTCATCCCATCTCCAGGAAGTCAAACTGGAGGGAGGAGGGCAAACTCGGGGAGGCGGGGCTCGGTGCCACGGAGAAGCCCAGGCGACCCGCGGTCCCTCACCCCCAGCCGGTCCCAGATCCGGGATACCAGTGCTGGCCTGGGGGTCCGCGTGCGCTCTCATCCGGATGGCCGACCCCTGCTCAGATCGTGAATCAGAGTCCGAATACGTGTTCCCGCGGGAAGTCGGGCTTTTCGCGGACTCGTACTCGGAGAAAAGCCGGTTCTATTTCTGTGGGCACGTGCTGAGCATCACACAGAACTTCGGGTCCCGCCTCGGGGTGGCGGCGCGCGTGTGGGACGCGGTGAGGAGTGGGCGGCTCTGGGCGAGGGCCCCCGGGAGGTCCGGACCCTGGATTCTCCCTCTGCCATATGGAACCATCCACGCGACAGTCTTTTTCTTTCTCTCTCCCCCTTTTCTCCCGTAGGCTCTGAGTCTGTGCAACTATTTTGAAAGTCAAAATGTGGATTTCCGAGGCAAGAAAGTGATCGAACTAGGCGCAGGGACGGGCATCGTGGGAATCTTGGCCGCGCTGCAGGGTGCGTGAGCTTTGTTATAGGAGTGAGTGGGGGTGGGGACTGGGTGGTGGAGAAATTTGTCACTCCCTGGATTCTTGGGAGGGGAGTGATTTGCGACCCGACCAGTCTCTTTTTAACAAACGGTGTATGTGTGTGTGCGCGCGCGCATCCTCTTTCTGTGTGCCAGAGAAAACACCCAGGGTGGTTGATTTGGGGGCAGGAAATAAAAACCGGGCAGGCCTTAGAAGGAGTAGGACTTTTTTCTACCTTTTTGCTCTTTGTGATTTCATGAATAATACCGTCACTTAAAACCGCCTTTCCTTTGACATGGTGTTTTGTCAAAATGCATCTTTGGGGGCATTCTGTAGGGGGAGCAATCTGCTTGTATTAAACCCGAGGAGGGCTTTATAATTCTAGTATGAATAGATACTAGGTTTTTTAGTGTTTTGACTGCTTGGAAGAAATAAGCGTGAATTCTTGAGGGTTAGGGTGTTTTTTGTGGGGGAAGTGAGGGTAGGAATTAGGCACCGCAGACTTCGGGAAGGAAAAGGTAAGGAAAATTTTGCTCCCCCTTTTTTTTTTCAAGGATCCAAAACTACAAAGGAAACAGCTCCTCAGTTTATAATCTAATGGGCAGGCAAAACCTCACACCCAAAACACTCATTTAAAACACTTATGATGTCATCTCCCTAGTAATGCAAATGTCTTTGTTCTTGGGAACACAACTAGGTCACGTTCAGGAAAGTCTTCCCAGAGACAGGCATTCATTCTTGTGTTCATTCAGTCAATATCTGTTTGGAGCCTTCTATCGTGCCAGGTACTGGGATATAACAGTGAGTGAGACACCTCTCCTGTTCCTGAGGAGCTTATGGTCTAATGGGGAAGGTGGGGGCAGATGTTATGGTACTGGAATTATGGTGTTGTATGCACAGAGCCAGCAGAAATGCTCTGGCTATGTGTCCCTTGATCCCTGGGAATTCAAAGAGAAGCACTGTGAAGTGAGAAGGTGAACAGTGCAAACACAGCAGGCTCACAAAACCAAAGGAGTGTTAAAAGCAATTTTCCATGAAGGAAGAGCAGAGGAGAGGTATACAGTTATGCTAAAATGGGAGAAAAGCATGTAATATGGATGGGAACACCTGCTTCCACTTGCTCCAAGACTGGGTTCTCCTCCTTTGCCCCCATCCAGCTGCCAAATAAGAAATCTAGGTGTCATCTTGTCCTTTGCTCTCTCCTGCTCACATCTCGGCATTCAGTCAAACCTGTGGGTCATAGGTCCTTAATAGTTCCCCAGTTGTCTGCTCCTCTTCCTACCATCTCCAGTTCAGGCCACTGCTGTTTCTTCCCTGGGTTTTCGCAAGTGTCTTCAAGCTTTTCCATGGGAAGGTAAGCATGCCGAAAGTAGATCTTGTGTTCTTCTGCACCCAGGGTGTTTCTCCTTCAGGCGTCCCCATCTCAGTGAACCAAAGCATCGTCTACCCAATGGGAAACCTAGATATCACCTTTGACATGTCCCTTTTTCTCACCCCCATAGCTATTACTCAAGTCCTACTGATTTTATCTTCTAAAAATCTCTCAAATCTCACGTTTTCCCATCGACACTGATGGCTCCCCAGTCCATGCCACCTTGGGCACTTGCCTGCCCTGCTACATTTAGGCCAACTCGTCTTCCTGCTTTGACTCCTTGCCCCCACCCAGACCTCTGCCCACTCTACCCAGCAGAGTGATCTTTTCAAGATGTACCTGTAATCACCTCTCACTCCCATCTTTCAGTGAGTTCTTGTTCTTTCAAGATCAAACCAATAACTTTGGCATGGCTTCCCGCCTCCCTCTCTGGCCTCTTTCTGTGCTTCTCCCTCCCTTGTGCTCCTCATGCTGTCAGTTACCCTTCTCTCAGTGCCTCAAGTCTGTCTTGATGTTCTCATCCGTGGAGCCTTCATACAGACTACTCTATGCCTGGAATCCTTGAACCACCTGGTTTATTCAGATGCATCCTTCAGTGCTCAGCTCAAACATCACTTCCAAGGGAAAGCCTCTTTGGTATCCCCACCTCCAGGCTAGCTTAGGCCTCCTAGTATATACACAACCGTGCTGACTGGTTTCATTTTGAATTTGTCATTACTAAACTTAAGTCCTTAAGTGCTGCCCAGTTAGTCTGTTACTGGCAGTGCACGTGTTCTTCCATTGTGCACGTATTCTTCTGTTCTCCCAAACATCTTTTTTACCTTCTTTCCCTTCAAACCTCTACTTGCCTCCTCCCCATCTTCACCCTCAGCTGATGGCTTTGTTGCCCATCTCTTCTGATTGCTTCTATTTTGTTATAGAAGATTTTCCACGTTCCTGTCACAATGTCTACTTACCTAACTGTGTGTGTTTTAAGTGCTGCCTTTTCTCCTGTTAACATCGATAAACACTCTGTGCTCCTAGCTAAGTCAAGCTCTCCACTTGTCAACAAGACCCCGAACTTTCTATCTACTCAAAGACATTGTTCCAGCACACCTCCTCCCCATCCCCTGTCTCCCCTGCATTACCAGTTTTTTCTTTTCTCTGGAACATTCTATACACACACGCACGTGCGCGTGCACACACACACGTATTACATCTATAAATATGCCATATTTTCTCTTAGAAAAAAACTGTTGGTCCTACATATTCTTTTAGTTACCACCCCATTTTTCTGTTCTGCTTTATAACAAAACTCCTCAAAAGAGTTAATCTTCTTCATCTGTAGTTCCTATCTTACTTTTCCCTCAATCCATTCCACGTTTCTGCCCTTATTTGCAGCAGTCCAAGGTGGTGAGCTTCATTTCCAACTCCATGTTGGTAAGTACAGGAGTCGATTATGAGCCCACTTGACTTGACTTTGCAGCATTTGACTCTCCCTCCTCCTTGAAATGCTTCCTTTCATTTCCAGGGTACCACACTTCTGCTTTCTGCCCACCTCATTTGCACTGGAGTTGTCCTTTGACCCCTTCCCTTTTCTTTTTTTTTTCTTTTTGCTTTTATTTTTTAATTTTTAAAGATTTTATTTATTATTTGACAGAGAGGGACACAGTGAGATAGGGAACACAGGCAGGGGGAGCGGAAGAGGAAGAAGCAGGCTTCCCGTCAAGCAGGGACCCCGATGCAGGGCTCCATCCCAGGACCCTGAGATCACAACCTGAGCCGAAGGCAGACGCTTAACTGATTGAGCCACCCTGCTGCCCTGACCGCTTCCCTTTTCTCTCTGTACTCCCCACTCCCAAGCAATCCCATCACCTCATGGGTTTAAATCCTGTTTCTATGCTCATGACTCTGTAACTCCCATTTCCATCTCCACATTTGTTTGTGGAACATCCTTCCTACCCGACATCTTCATGTGGTTGTCTGGTGGGCACCTAACACATAGACAGGAACTCATGACCTTCCTCTCCAGTCCTGCTCCTCATATAGCCTTCTTCCTTTTAGTAGATAGCAGTTCGGTCTTCTAGTCAGTCAGCTCAAACATCCCCTCTCTCTAGTATATCATGTCCAGCCTCTCAGCACATCCTGCTGACTGTACCTTCAGAATCATTCAGGATCTGACCATTTCTCAGATGTGGCTACTGCCCTGGTTCAAACGAGCATCACCTCGCAGCTGGGTTAGCTGCCTCCTAACTGGTCTCTTCACTTCTGAACTTGCCCCCCTGCCATCCTTTCTCATCACAGCAGTCAGAGTGATCCTTTATTCATTTGTTTATTTTAAAGATATTTATTTATTTACTTATGTATTTAAGAGAGCATGGGGAGGGGCAGGGGGAGGGGCAGAGGGAGAGAGAGAGAGCATCTCTAGCAGACTCTGCTCCAGCCACTGGCCTTCCTGCTCTTTCTCAGACTTACTACACACTCCTGCCCCGAGGTCTCGGCACGTATTAGTCCCTTATTTGGTACATTTAGCCTGAGAGTTCCACGTGGTTTGCTCCATCATTTCCCAGGTCTTTGCCCAAACATAATCTGTTGAGCAAGCCATTTCCCGACCACTCAGTTTAAAATTACATGCCCCGCCCCATCCCTGAAGCAATTCTTATCCCCCTTCTCTGCTTAATGCTTCACTGTAGCATCTGGTGTACAGTGTATTTTCTTTGATTTGTTTTGTTTGTTGTCCATTTTTTGCTGCTAGACCATAATCCCTCTGAGGGGAGGGATTCTTGTCTGATTGGTTCACTACTGTATTCTCAGCACCTGGCATAGAGACACAAAATAAATATGAATGAATGAATGAACTTTTCCTGTGTTTGTAACAGTCGTCATGATCAGGGTCTGTTTTGCAGTGCCTTGTGTGTCTCTACCTCTCTAACAACACTCAAGGAAGGCTGAGGTTTTATCTTGCTCACCACTGTGCTGCCAGAACTTAGTAGGGGCTCAGTACATGTATTTCTTGCATGAATGAAGCTTTCTGAGGTGCTAATCTGATTATCCTCACCCTCTGCTTCTGCCTTTAAAACCTACCCCCCTCAGAATCAAACCTGAGTCTCTTAGCATGTCATCATTATTCTCCAGTCTTGATATTTCTCTCTTTCCTTCCACATCCCCTAAGGTTCAGCCTTCCTTGAACTTGTGATGCTCTCGCCCCCAAGCCTTTGTACTCTCTGTTCTCTGCCTGGAAAGCTCCACCTAACTAACTCCTGCTTGTCCTTTGAGGCTTGCTGAGGCCATGTCTTCTGGGAAGCTTTCCAGACCCATGAAGTTTGGTGTGGGTCAGTATGGGCTGGATGCATACATAGCCCTTCTCCAGCTCGGTCCTGCCCAGGCTTCTGGTTACGCCCAGTGGTTGTATGTTGGACAGAGAGGTTGAAGATCAGCTCAAAGACAACGTTGATGTTGTAGAACGTAAAGCAATGAGGACAGCAGCAGGTGAGATGGAGGTTAGGGTAACTAAAAACCCAAGTGTGCACTCTGGGCTGGCAAGACACTGTTCTCTAGGCCCTGCAGTCTCTGGGCCTTCTGGGTAGGAGCCGAGACCCCTTGGTTGGTCTGTCTGACTTGCATTTCTCCTCCTTCCTCTCTCTCAGGGGGGAATGTTACCATCACTGACCTGCCCCTGGCCCTAGAGCAGATCCAGGCCAACGTCCAGGCCAATGTGCCGGCTGGAGGTCAGGTCCAGGTCCGAGCCTTGTCCTGGGGGATTGACCAGCATGTTTTCCCTGGAGACTATGACCTGGTGCTGGGGGCTGATATCGTGTACCTGGAGCCCACCTTCCCACTGCTGCTGGGCACCCTCCAACACCTATGCGGGCCCCATGGCACCATCTATCTGGCCTCCAAGATGAGAGAGGAGCACGGGACAGAGAGCTTCTTTCAGCACCTCCTGCCCCAGCACTTCCAACTGGAGCTGGCCCAGCGGGATGAGGAGGAGAATGTCAACATCTATAGAGCCAGGCACAGGGAACCAAGACCTGCTTGACAACACCCTTCTGCTCCTCTGAACCCCTTGTCCTAAGAAAAGAACTGCCGTATCTCCAAAGCCATAAACACGAGGAAGAGAAGTATGGGTTTCCTTTGCCTCCTCTTTCCTCCTTCCCTCTTGGGCTGGTGCAGGGAGGTGCCTGCTTGCTAGGAATCTTAGAGCCCTAATAGCGCTGGATTAGAGCACAAAGGAAGTTCCCAGTTCCTGTTCCCAGAGGATGAAATGAAGATTTTTAGGGATAGGGGAGACAAATGGGAGGTGAGAACAGTGGTTGCAGATAGACTGTCCCTGAACCCTTCCAGTCCTGCTATGGTGTATTTTTTTTTTTTTTTTAATGCAGAATGGACTTTTTTCCCTGCCAGATTTGAATGGAATTCTTTTTTAAAGGGAAAGAAGATCATCTCTGTATCCAAAGAATTCAGGCTTTTGCTGGGGGACTAGGAAGGAATGAACCGCAGACCACCCACTTCTTGCTTCTGGAGACAGAGTCTGGTGGGACCATGGCCCTAACTGGGTCAAATCCTGCCTGCCCTGAAGCTGGGGACATAGGCAGCAAGCTGTCCTTTGGACTATGGCTTCTTCATCCTTTTTGGAGCTGGAACCGGGATCACTAAGTACTAGGTTCTTCTCATCTATCTGAGTTTTCTTCAGGTTTCCAAGCCCTGTTGGTCCTTCCTTGCTAATGTGTTTTGTCTTCCCCTCTTTTTTCTTCCCACTGAGCTACCTCTGCTTGGGGCTCCCTTTTACTCCTTGGGCCACATATCACCTCCTCTGGATTCCTGGCCTCCATTCCCTCCCGTTCAAGCCACTTATCAAACTCTGTTGATCTTCCCACATCAGCTCTGATTAACTTCGGATGCCTACAGCAAGAGTCCATCCTGTGTGATCCCAAATTACTCTTCTTTTTCATTTTCAACTGGTTTCCTATGTGTATTGCAACCTCTGGACAAATTCCAAATGTCTACTCTTTGTTCCCTATTTCCACACCTAAATTCCTTGTTTTCTTCATTCTTTTTGGTGATTCTCTGCCTGGAAGGGCTATGTCTACTTGTCAAAATCTTTATTACTCTTCGACTCTTTCCTGAAAAAAACTTTTACAGAGCCTCCTGTTTGGGTGTGATTTCTTTCTCCCTGGAGACCCTTTCACTGTTTGTTCATCTTATGGGACTTAAATGATCTTACATGGTCACTTGCCTGTTCCCTATTTTCTCACCATTAGATTATCTTGGAGGGTAGGGCTGTGGTTTACTCTTTTTTAATTCCCTGAAGTCTAGCACAGCTCCCAACATACAGTAGATGTCCAATAAAGACTTTGCTCATTCAACAAATATTTACAGGGTTTGTTGAAAGTACTCCACTCTTACCTCCCCAGGTGCCCTTGGCCAAATTTCTGAACCCACCCACCTACCTCACAAGTTTGTCGTGAGTCCTAAATGGATGACTATGAAAGATGAACGGAAATAAAGAAACATAAAATGTTGCCACGTCTTGAATTGCTATTTTGCGACAACTTTGTCCCATGGTTTCTGTTATTTTATCTATGGTGGGAGTGGGGAGGTGAGGGGGGATAAATCCCTTGTGAAATAGTCTACAAAAGCAAGGTAGAAGAGGCGAGTGTGCCCACCCCGGCCAGCAGGTGGCGCAGTCCTCGCTCAGCGCGTTGCGGTGAAGAGATTTGGCCCTGCCGCCGCGCCGTAGGCTAGTGGCCTCACCGGTGCGCCGGGCGGCGGCAGTGTACTCTGGGGTCAGAGAGATGTCGCTGCTGCGGTCGTTGAGCCTCTACCTGGTCGCGCGGGCCAGGAGCTGCTCGGTGAGGGGTCTGGGTCCTCCCACCGTCCCGCCTTCCTTGCAGATCTCCCGAGCGCTCGGAACGCAGTGTTTCCTTCCGTTCCACGTTCGACTCCATCCTTCTCCCCCGCCCCACCCAACCCCCGACCTCATTTTCTCTGTGGGGTCCAGTCCCCAGTTGGCTGCCTTCCCCCACCCCCGGAGGAGGTGTCTCCTAAGGTGGCCTCCTAAGGTGGCATTCCCACCGACGTGCTGTCCACCCGCCCGAGTTCCTGGCTGCTTCCTGCTTCTCATCCCTTTCTTCTTACCTCTGCAGGCGGGACCCCTTCGGCTTCAGTCGCTTCAGCCGTGGCACACATTTCACACTGGGCCCTGGCTCTCTTCTGCGGCCTCCAGCAAGGAGCTTCTCATGAAGCTGCGGCGAAAAACAGGCTACTCCTTTGTAAACTGCAAGAAAGCTCTGGAGACTTGTGGCGGGGATCTCAAACAGGTGTGGGGGAGGAGGGCGAGGGGAGCGGGTCGGGGTACTAGGGCCCGAACTCAGTCTCTCAGGGAGGTGCTGCTGGGGAGCAGTGAATCAGACCTGCTACCCAGGGACCCATAACTGCAGAACTCTGGGTAGGATTCTGACTTAAATGACAGCCTCACCCTTTGACCGTGTTTTGACTCCGGAAGCCGTTAACTCAGGATCCCATGGTTAGCAAACGCTATTCCAAGCACACTGCTATGCTGTTTCCCTGCTGCTTGGAGCCCAAAGGGCTCGTGTGGGCTTTGGGAATGAGACCCATCAGGACTCAAACTCTGGTGCCCTCACACTAACCCTGTGATCTAGGACACCTTACTCTTTCAGAGTTGAATTGTTCTTGTCTGTATAATAGAAATACTACTGTCTGCTTCATGGGGTTGTTGTGAAGATGAAATTTATCCAAAGCACCGGGCACAATGCCTGGTATTTGGCATTCAATGGTAGGCTGCCAGAAAACGATAGATGCTTTAGTTTCCATTATAGGACTGAAGAGAAACAGAAAGAATTAGGGAACCTGAACATATTTTAGAGCTCCGTTCAGTTCTAAATTCTATGACTTTGTCATATGCTGTATTTTTAATTTATAGGCAGAGAGCTGGCTCCACAAACAGGCCCAGAAGGAAGGCTGGAGCAGAGCTGCCAAACTCCATGGCAGGAAGACCAAAGAAGGTCTGATTGGGCTACTTCAGGAAGGAAACACATCTGTGTTAGTAGAGGTGAGTTGTCAGAATTCCACATAACCAGGAACAGCTGCCCCTTGGGTGGAAAGAAGAGGTGTTTGAGAACCGCAAAAGGTTGTTGAAATTAAACTGGTGAGACCACAGTTAGGAATTCACTGAAGTATAGAAATGCACAGGTATGTTGACGAATAAAGGTCTAGAAGTCAAAAAGATTACAGATATCCCCCACTTTTCGAAAGTTTGAGTTACGCACTTTACATTTACAAAAGACCTACATTTGTACCTGTTTTGTTTTTGGTTAACCAAAAGAAATTCAAAGAGTACTTTCACTTTTATGAAAAAAAAAAAAAGGCAAAAAAGTGAAAATAGCATTCCCTGTTGGTTTTGCCCTGAGTTGCTTTAGAGGCAGGGGCACCCTAATGGCAAGAGTTGTGCCCCCAAACTACTCCCTGCCCAAACTACACTCAGCATCAAGCTGCCATACCTTTGAACTTTGTAAGCCTCTGTGTTTTAGGTCGATTTATTTTGTGCACCCACGTCCATCTAAATGAATGGTAACTGATTTTTTGCTTTATGCCATTTCGGCCGACAAAAGGTTTCATAGGAATATTCTGCTTTGAGATGGTGGAGCAAACCTGTGCTTCTACATGTGAGTCTCGTATGGCCTTATGACTTGCTTATGATTGTTTCCTGGAACACATTTTCAAGCTAGGAATTGTATTAGTTGATGGATAGCATGTGGCTGTTTTAGAGGAGGCTTAGTGGCTTCAACTGGTGAAGAGTCAGATGTGGGTTAGTTTAGAGTGAGAAAAGGAGACAAGCATGCTGATAGCAAAAGTGGCTTGGTGTTGGAGGAGCCTGGAGAATTAGGTGTTCATGACCTGCAGCCACAGGCAAGTGGTGAACTTGTCCTTTGGGGGACATTATGGAGCCATCTTTTGAAAGTGCGGGTCATTGCCAACTCATTGGCGGAGCAAGAATCACTTCATTCAGTTTCTGGCCTCAAGCTAGGAGAGGAACTGCAGCCTTAAAATTCTAGGGTCTTTTATTTCTGTTTTGTTGAATCTGTAGCTTGTTCTGCGGTACCTTGGTTTACTCTCCAATTTTATGGCACTTTTGCAAACTCTCCGTAAACAGCCTATAAACAACATCAATTTGTTCCCATCAGGTAAACTGTGAGACAGATTTTGTTTCCAGAAATTTGAAATTTCAACAGTTGGTCCAGCAAGTTGCCCTGGGAACCCTGTTGCATTGTCAGAACCTAAAGGATCAACTTTCCACGTACAGTAAAGTGAGTTTTGGGATTATCTGTCAATATGCTGGATTTACACACACACCCCTTTCTTTTTTTCTATTTTTATTTTTAAAGATTTTATTTATTTGACAGTGTGAGCACACAAGCAGGGGAAGCAGCAGTCAGAGGAAGAGGGAGAAGCAGGCGCCCCTTGGAGCAGGGAGCCTGGTAAGGGGCCTGATCCCAGGACTCTGGGATCATGACCTGAGCCAAAGGCAGAGGCTTAACAAACTGAGCCACCCAGGCACCCCGACACACTGCTTTCTTAGGGTCTTTGCTGTTCCCTGTTTTTCAGACATCCTCGTGGCTCACTCCCTTACTTCATGTCCTTGCTTAAATGTTATCTCTTTGGAGAGAAACATCCTTCCTGTTGTTCTAGTCCCTTATTTTGCTTCATTGAAAAAGTTTTGTTATAATATTGTATTTATTATATTTTTACTTATTTATATATTGAGGGAGAAGCAGGCTTCCCACTGAGCAGGGAGCCCGACATGGGGCTCGATCCCAGGACCCTGGGATCATGACCTGAGCCAAAGACAGATGCTTAACTCTCTGAGCCACCCAGGTGCCCCACTTTTCTTTTTTTCTTTCTTTCCCTTTTTTTTTTTTTTTTTTTTTTAAAAGACCTACCTATTCTAGAGAGAGTGAGAGTGGGAGCCCGAATTGGTGGGGGAGGGATGAGGGAGCGGAATAAAATCCCAAGCAGACTCCCTGCCAAGGGTGGAGCCCTATGGAGGGCTCCAGGCTCCCCCGGGGTGGGGAATGGGGGTATGGCTGGGTGCAGGGCTCGATCCCACAGTAAGACCCGAGCTGAAATCAAGAGCCAGAAACTTAACTGACTGAGCCACCCAGGCACCCTAATCAGGTGAATGTTTCTTTGTATTCAGAAATCTAGAATAGCCTGAGGAAAGGATTTTTTTTTTTTTCTTTCTTTCTCTTTTTCTCTTTCTTTTTTAAGGAAAGGATTTGTAAATACAGATATTGGAGAAGACACAGTTTAGGAAAACAAGCATATTCTTGTCCATAGGAGAATCAGGATGGAATTATATTAGTCTGCCTTTGGTTCATCCTTAAGGTCAAGACAAAAACGAACCAACTACTCATTTTTTTATGTGTGTTTTTACTACCTTTTTTCTCCTTTGTATCCTTCTCTTGAGAGCTTGTGGTAAATGTTCAAAGATGAGCTACTTAAACTAGAAGTTCTAATCTTCTATTTTCTTTCTTTTTTAAGTAAACTCTGCTCCCAAGGGGGGCTTGAACTCATGACCCCAAGATTAAGAGTCGCATGCTCTACCAACTGAGCCTGCCAGGCACACCCAGTTTTTTTTTTTTAATTTTAAATTTTAATTTAATTTTTTTATTATGTTCAATTAGTCAACATATAGACACCTAGAAGTTCTAATCTTGACTGCCTGTAAGTCTGTAACCCTGAGCTATTCACTTATTTTGTCCCTGTTTCATTATCCGTAACAAGAAATATTGGTTCATTTTAGCTTCATTAATTTTTTTCCCTTTTGGCCTTTAATTTTTTTTTAACTTTTATTTTGAAAAAAATTCAAACTTATAGAAAAGTTGCCAGTGTTCTGGAATAAGCTACATTGTACTTTTATCTAGATTCACCATTTGTTAACATTTTGGCACATTTGTTGTATTACTTTTTATATACTTATTGTTATCATCACTCTTTCATTTTATTTTAGTTTTAAGTAACCTCTGCACCCCAACTTGAGGCTGGAACTCACAACCCCAAGATCAAGAGTTGTAGGCTCAAGGGGTTCCTGGGTGGCTCAGTCGTTAAGCGTCTGCCTTCAGCTCAGGTCATGATCCTAGGGTTCTGGGATCGAGCCCCATGTCGGGCTCCTTGCTCAGTGGGAAGCCTGCTTCTCCCTCTCCCACTCCCCATGCTTGTGTTCCCTCTCTCACTGTGTCTCTCTCTATCAAAAAAAAAAAAAAAAAGAGTTGCATGCTCAACCAACTGAGCTAGCCAGGTGTCCCATCACTATTTAAAGAAATTTTTTGCAAGTATGTTGCAGACAACAAGACCATTATTCCCTTGAATAGGTTATTTCCTAAAAATGACATTCTCCTATGTAACCACAGTACAATAATCACAATAAAGAATTTTAACACTGACACAATATTTTTATTTATATAACATAGGACATATATTCATATTTTGCCAGCTAGTACTTTTTCTTCTGATCCAGGATCCAGTCCGGTATCATGTGTTGTAATTAGTTGTCATATTTGTTTAGTGTCCTTTCTTTGTTTCACAGCCTTTCTTTGTCTTTCATTACAATGACCTTTTTTTTAAAGATTTTATTTTTAAATAATCTCCACACCCAAGGTGGGACTTGAACGTGCAGCCCCAAGATCAAGAGTTACATGCTCTCCTAACTGAGCCAGTCAGGAGCCCCACACTGACATTTTTTTTTTTCCCAGTAAGCTCCTTTTTCATTTTTTTTTTTAAGTTTTTATTTATTTGACAGACAGAGATCACAAGTAGGCAGAGAAGCAGGCAGAGAGAGAGGAAGGGAAGCAGACTCCCTGCTGAGCAGAGAGCCCGATGCGGGGCTCAATCCCAGAACCCTGGGATCATGACCTGAGCCGAAGGCAGAGGCTTTAACCCACTGAGCCACTCAGGCGCCCCACCCCCCCCACCACACTGACATTTTTGAAGAGTAGAGGACAGTATTGTAGAAAGTCCTTTAATTTGGGTTTGTCTGGTATTTCATCATAGTTAGAGTTTGGGTTTTTAGCATGAATATTAAATAAATTATCCTGTATATTTCCCAGGATAGTGAATCAGGAGGTATGTGATGACCATTGGTCTCATTACTAATGATGTTAATTTTAATTTTTTTATTATTTTTTAAGATTTTATTTATTTGAGAGGGAGAGTGAGAGAGAGCACATAAGGAGGGGGAGGGACAGAGGAAGAGGGAGAAGCAGGCTCCCCACTGAGCAGGGAGCCCAATGCGGGGCTTGATTCTAGGACCCCGTGATCACGACCTGAGCCATAGGCAGACACTTGACCCTCTGAGCCACCCAGGCAACACCGATGGTACTAAGGTTTTAAGATTTTATTTATTTATTTATTTTAGAGGGAGAGTGAGAGTGCCGGAGCGAGCAGGGGAGGGGCAGAGGGAGAAGGAGAGAGGGAATCTCAAGCAGACTCTGCACTGAGCTAGTAGCCCGACCTGGGACTTGATCCCACAACCCTGTGATCATGACCTGAGCTGAAATCATGAGTTGGATACTAGGGGGCGTCTGGGTGACTCAGGCGATAAATGTCTGCCTTTGGCTTGGGTCATGATCCCAGGGTCCTGGGATCGAGGCCCGCATCAGGCTCCCTGCTCAGCGGGAAGCCTGCTTCTCCCTCTCCCAATCCCCCTGCTTGTGTTCCCTCTCTCTCTGTCAAATAAATAAATAAATAAATAATTCTTTAAAGGAAAAAAAAAAAAAGAGTTGGATGCTCAACCAACTGAGTCACCCCTTTGTCCCTAATGATGTTAATTTTGGTCTCTTCTTGGTCAGGGCAGTATCTTCCAGGTTTCTCCACTGTGAAGTTACTCTATTTCTCTTTGTAATTAACCAGTAGTCTGTATGGGAGATTCTTTGAGACTGTGTAAGTGTCCAGTCCATCAAAAAACTTTTACCTGAAAGTATTAGCATCCATCCATGACTCTGTCAGGTTCAGTTATGACTGATAGTTACATAATGGTTACTTTTCTATCTCTTAAAATTTCTTTTACATGTGTTCGTTTTATTAGTTGGCATTCTACGGCTGCTCTGCTCCTTTAGTAGACAGATGCAGGAAGTGTGTGTGTGCTCCAGTTCTAATCCTGCATCCCGGGTTTTTCCTTTCCTTCCCCTATTCTATTTTTGTATCTTCCTTCTTGCACTGTTAGTACACTGGCTCTTAGCAACTTCAGTGTTTACTTATTTTCTCATCGTTCCAATACACACTAAATCGTTTTAGGGACTATACCTGACTGCTGCAAATAACAAACCTATTAAGGAGTTCAAGATTCCTTGGATGTTGTTTTTGTCTTTACATTGGAGTTACATGGTCAAAGGACTGTATTCAAAGTTACTTGGATTAGTTTTTCCCCCCTTCTGTGAAGTTACATTATTCATTTGAAATATAGTTAGAGTCTTATGTTTCTGTGTAGTTAATTTTTGTTTTACCCCCAAATTCTTGTTAATCTAATTTTGTTTTTAAATATGAAAAACACTGGGGCACCTGGGTGGCTCAGTGGGTTAAAGCCTCTGCCTTCGGCTCAGGTCATGATCCCAGGATCCCGGGATCGAGCCCTGCATCGGGCTCTCGGCTCAGCAGGGAGCCTGCTTCCCTTCCTCTCTCTCTCTGCCTGCTTCTCTGCCTACTTGTGATCTCTGTCTATCAAATAAGTTAAAAAAAAATGTAAAACGTTAACAAGATTCTGAAAGTTAAAGCTGTAATATACATGCACACATGCATACACACAAAGAAGTCTCACTCCTCCTTCTCTCCTTTTTACCTTATTCTTGTCCACTCCAGTAGATAACTAGTTTCGTTGGTTTTGGGTATCCTTTCAGTCTTTTTTTGCAAAAATAGCATATTTATATAAATCTTTCTTACCCAAATGATAGCATAATATATACATACTCTTGGGGCCTGGTGGCTCAGTGGGTTAAAGCCTCTGCTTTCAGTTCAGGTCATGATCCCAGGGTCCTGGGATCGAGCCCCGTGTTGGGCTCTCTGCTCAGCAGGGAGCCTGGTTCCCTTCCTCTCTCTCTGCCTGCCTCTCTGCCTACTTGTGATTTCTGTCTGTCAAATAAATAAATAAAATCTTAAAAAAAAAAACCCATATACACACACACACACACACACACACATACTCTTTTTTTTTTTTTTTTTTTTTAAGGATTTATTATTTGAGAGAGAGTGTGCATGCACAGGGGGGGCGGCAAAGGGAGAAAGAGAATCTCCAGCAGATTCCTCACTGAGTGTGGAGCCTGATGCAGTTGTCCCTAGATATGTACTCTTTTAATTTGCTTTTTTTCACTTAATAATATAACCTGGAAATACTTTGTAGCAGCTCATGCAGATCTTTTCTTTTTCCCAGCTGCATAGTTTTTCCATCATGTGGCTGTGCCACGGTTTATCCAACCAGTCTTTTAGCTTTAACATTTTATGATTGTTTGAAAATACTGTTCCTGATTTCTTGGAAACTACAGTTGAAGAAGTTAGGCCAGAGGATGGGATTGAGATAGAATTGGGGGTGGTACAGTGATAGAATATAATAGAGATAAAAATAGACTCATAAATTTGTAACATCTTTGGCTTAATGAAAACATTCATTTAAGGGGTGCCTGGGTGGCTCCGTGGGTTAAGTGTCTGACTCTTGGTTTCAGCTCAGGTCATGATGTCAGGTTCCTGGGATCAAGCCCTGTGTTGGGCTCTGCACTCAGCAGGAAGTCTGCTTGAGAGTCTCTTCCTCTCCCTCTGCCCCTCCCTTGTGCAGGCTTGCTCGCTAATGCTTTTTCTCTCTCAGATAAATAAACCTGAAAAAAAAAAAAAAAGACCCAAAACATTCATTTATACTTATTGTCTTAAATCATTTTTTGAGAAACACACTATTTTTGCCTAGTCTCTTTGTAATTTAAGTGGGACAGAACAGATTTGTTCTTTTTGTGTGTGTGTGCACTTAGGGCTTCTTGAATTCCTCTGAGCTTTCTGAACTTCCAGCTGGGCCTGAGAGAGAAGGCTGTCTCAAGGATCAGCTAGCCTTAGCAATTGGTAAGTATTTGTAAGGATTGTGGGAACTGGAAATCATGAACTGGACCTCCTGGTATCTTTGATATTCCTCCACACCTGATCGGGAATTGCAAGCTCATGTGCCCACAAGGGTCAGGAAATATGAATGTGAGAAGTGGGTTGTGTTGTGTGTTAGACATTAGTGAGCAGTAGGGTCCCTGAGACTTTCACACTGGCGAAGGAAACTGCCACCAGGCTCTAGCCAGTTGTTACCTTGGGGTCCCAGCGTGGTCAGAATTTTTAAATTCCTTCAAAAGAATTTAGCTTTCTGTGTAAAAATTTCAGTTTTTAGATGTTTGCAGCTAATTAAAATGATTTTCCTCACTCTGCAGGCTGACCAAAGCATGTCTTTAGGCAGGGATGGCTTTTGACTTCTTCCAGTTGACTACCTCTCTAATACGCTGTGGGAGACACACTACATCAGAAGTCATCTCACCTTCTTTATAAAGGGATCCAGGAATATTTGGGGGCATAATGTGTAGGAATTTGAGCTCTTTTTTAGAAAAATCTGATCCTGAATTTGTGAAGGTTTATTCCTTCAGAACCACTGGGCACAGGAACCATAGCTGGATCATTGTGCCAGAACTAGTGGGAATTTTGCTTTCTTCCTACGTGTCCTTGATGGAAGGAGGGAAGTAGGGCTGGGTTGGAGCTTGCTGGGAATTTACTGCTCATCCATCGTTTCCAGTCAAGGCATCAATTCTGTTTTTATCAGGTTATCTTGAAATATGTATGATGTTTTAGTGAGTCATGGCTGAGAAGCCAGGCAGACAGCTGCGAATGGGACTTATTAAGAAATTCTGGAAGAACTGGGTGTTTCAACCTTGTCAATTTCTGAGAATTAACTACTGTTCAAATGCTTTGAATTGTTTTAAGATTTCTTCCCTTATTAAGACTTTTAGATATAATTATGGCTAATGCAGGGATATTTACCTAGACTTTTTGGGGTCTCCTAACCTCTTTCCTATCCTTTGGCTTATTTAGACTTATGTTAGAGACAGGGAAACCTGGAATTATATTTGATTCTTAAAAACAACGCTGGGGGCAACTGGGTGGCTCAGTGGGTTAAGTTCCTTCCACTCAGGTCATGATTCCAGGGTGCTGGGGTCGAGCCCTACATCGGGCTCCCTGCTCAGTGGGGAGCCTACTTCTCCCTCTGCCCCTCCCCCTGTTCTTGCTCCCTGTCCCTCTCAAATAAATAAAATCTTAAAAAAAAAACAAAACTGAGAATTTTTATTTTTGCTGAGAGGAAGTTGAAACTATCTGATGGTATGGGGTTTGGGTTTTCTGGGGCTTTTAGTTGTGGACTTTTTCCTGCTATCATGGATGACGAAGAGTTGTGTCAGTTATGGTGATTTTCGGGAGGGATGGTAATTTCAGGGGAAGAAAACACCTAATTGCTTTGGAGTGAGATGCGGGCTTTGCTTCCAGCTCTGGCACGTAGTAGCTGTGTGAGCTTGGGTAGTAGCTCGAGCTTTCTAAACCTACATCAAACATAGTAATGATAGCTGGCATGTGCGTGCCGCTCTGTGCTAGGTCATGTAATTAAGTGCATTTACATATGTTACTTTATTTATGTCTCCTAAGAACCCTGCTTTCAGGTTATTTTAAGTGATGTCATCTCCGTGTTGTGGAGGAGGAAACAAAGGGTTGATAAATTCATAAATGGGGTTATGTCACTTGCATAAGGTTACATAGCTGGTAAGGGGTGGAACTGAGACCCAAGTCCAGGGTCTGTGGGACACCATAGCCTGTTTTTAAGTACCAGTGTGGCACGTTGTTGGTGTTCCATAAGGGTGTTCTTTATTTCTCCCACCCCTACACACTCCTCCCCCATACCTTTTCTTCTTTAAATGGCAAATGGTATCTCTCCATATTCATAGTGTAAATGTGGGGAGAGAGGACTGTCTCCCAGACTCGGTCCCAGACTCGGCCACTTCTATGCATATTTTGGTAACTGCCATGGGTGTCATGTTCTAGAAGTGTGTTTCTTGTTTTTTCTTTTTTATAGGGAAACTCGGAGAAAACATGACTCTTAAACGAGCCGCATGGGTGAAGGTGCCAGCTGGGTTCTACGTTGGCTCTTACGTCCATGGAGCAATGCACAGCCCGTCGCTCTACAACCTGGTGCTGGGGAAGTATGGGGCCTTGGTCATCTGCGAGGCATCTGAGCGCAGAGCAGGCTTGGAGGACCTGGGCCGCCGCCTGGGGCAGCATGTGGTGGGCATGGCCCCTCTCTCTGTTGGCTCTTTGGATGATGAGCCTGGCGGGGAGGCAGAAACCAAGATGCTGTCCCAGCCATACTTGCTGGATCCCTCCATCACTCTGGGACAGTATGTGCAGCCTCAAGGGGTGTCTGTCGTGGACTTCGTGCGGTTTGAATGTGGAGAAGGCGAAGAGGCAGCAGAAGCTGAATAGGTTCCAAAGACTTGGCTGGAGGAAAGGTTTCTCCTCAGCTTTGGACATCATTACGAAAAGAAGTTATTTCCTAAGCCTCTTCAAACCCAGAAGTTGTTTTTCATTGGTGTTTATAAAGAAATGATAGACTCGATGAGTAAAGCTTTAAATAAAATTGCTATATAATTAAGAAGAGTAGAATCTTTTCCTTGTTTGTGTAGTGCTGCGTTTAGCTTTTTTTGTGCCTGACTTGTGCCAGGTTGTGGAAAACAGCAGGGGGAACTTACTGAAGGGGCCGCCAGTATCTGGAAGGACAGATGTAAGCCGTTGGGCTGCTGCTTCCTTCAGCCAAGACCTATCATGGTAACCCTAAAGTGTCGAACCCTGTTGATCTTAGTGCTTCTGTGACCCTGCACACTGTGATGCCCTGGACGGCGCTTCTCTCCTGGTATGTTCCCCAGTATGTTACTTCTGCCACATGGATTCCTTGGGAGTTATTGACTCAAACTTTGAGCTATCTGGAAAATGTGGTTCACGTGTTGCTGTCTATGGCGTGCTTTGAAGGCTCTCCGCTGTGGTGTGCACACTGGTTCTGGCCTCGTTACTGAAATTAATAACACATGGCCCTATTTCTCTTTTGGATAATGGGGTAGAGATGGGTGGGGACTGAGGTTTCCTGGACAGCTGTAAGGCAGATTTTGGCATTCTTGTGCCAGAAACAGGACTTCACAGTGGTCCAGTTACCCAGAGAACTCACTCAGCAGTGCCTCTTGCCTACCCCAGTACAGAGACGTTTCTCCCTGCATCACAAAATAATTACCATAACAGGTAAACCCCAAATACTGAACTACATTTGCACATACAGATATTTTTATTTGAAAAGTTAAAAATCTCTGGTACATACAGATCTGGGCATTTGGATTTTGCCCTTGGGGTAGATAATAGAATACCTTCAGTGATTGGTGGGTTAAATAGATTTTGCAAACAACGATCTTACAATTTAAAACAACCTTATGTCCTTGGCCCATTATTAAAAACTTTAAACTTAGCTGTTTTTTGTTTTTGTTTTTGTTTTTCTTTTCTGACTTCTCTGGATTCTTGCAGTTGTGGTACTTTCTGCTGAGACTTCAGCTGGAAGGCCACAAAAATCAAAAAGTGGGTAGTTAACATTTTAGGTCTCTAACAACTACGGAAGCAGGGGTGAGAAAGATGGAGAACATGCTGTGATTTGCAGACCTTACTGTATCTAAATTAAGTAGTTGGCTATTAGGCAGAAATTGGTAGATAAATTCTTTCCTGTTACTGGCTCTTTCTGCTCTCTTCTGTGGTCTTGCAATAGGCATATAGCTTCTTGCCTTAGAAAAGCCCCTTTTCTTTCTTCATTTGGAGTTGCTTCCAGCCAGGCAGAACAGCAAATTGCCCTCTTGTGATGCCAAACACAGAAATAAAATCCTGTTCAGAGAGGTAATTCTAGGAGAGAAAACAGTCTCTAGTTAGGAAGACATGGCACCCATCAATGACAACAGGGTGGGGGAAGGTGGAGCCAAGAGAGCATCTTTGAAGGGGGAAGAAGGAATTTTTCAGAAAGGGTGTAATGCACTTAAAATTATTCACTGGAGGGTTCTTGGGTTGTGGAGTCCCATTTTGGCCTGAGTAGAAGCTGACCAGATTTGCTGCTCTCATATCCCACCTGGTACCAGTTTTTTGCCAAAAGAACAAGAATTGGGTTATATATGATGAATCCTAGACATCAGGTTTTGGCTGAATGGAGAACTAAATTGAGAGTTGGTTTTCCTTGCCTTGTGCCCTTATCTACCATTTTTTATTCAGACATTTTTGAATGCATGATCACGTGGATCTTGTTCAGAGCATAAAATTCTCCTAACATTTATTTATTGAAGCTTACTGAATAGTTGCTATCTGAGTAAAATTATTAAGATATGGCTTCTGTTTTCAAGAAAGTTGTAGTCCAGATCCTTAAGAGTTGGTTAGCTAAGACACTGTATAAAACCCAGAGATCCTTCCCAAATCAATTCCTTCAAGGGGGAAAATTAGTGCATTCATTCAGTATCAAAGTGCTAATTCATTTAACCAAAACTTCAAGAATGCATACTAGATGCCAGGCACTGTTTTAAGTGCTGAAAAGCGGAGAACGTGGAGGTCAACAAGACAGAGAAGGTCCTTGCTCTTAAGCAGTGTTAGGGTGGTCAGGGAGGGCTGTCTGGAGGGAGGCAACTTCAGAGCCAGGACCTGACCTCTGTGATGATCTGTGAGAAGAAGGGTCTCAGGCGGTGTAAAGGCTCAAAGGCTGGGATGGAGTGTGTTTAAGACAGAAAGGGAGCCCCTGGCTAGAGGGTGGTGAGTAGAGGCCAGTGGTCTATGAGATGACATCAGAAAGGCGGGTGTAGGCCAGATTGTGTAGAGCCATGGAGGCCACAGAAAGGATTCCAGATTCTTTTGTTTGCAGTGGGAAGCCTTTGGAGGTGTTTTGAACAGAACAGTTTTGTCTGCTTTAAAAGCCTATTGGCTGTTATGCGGGGAGAGAACTGATGGTTGGGACAGGGGTGGAAGCTGGTTGGGGAACTATTGCAGTAGTCCGTGATGGCTGGACAGCAGAGAGACGGGGAGGAATGGACAGAGGCTAGCTGATGGACTGATGTGGGAGGTGAGGAAAAAAGGAGTCCTGAGTTTTTGTCTCGAGCCACTGGGTAGCTTTGAGGGGCCAGCAATGTGCCAGAGCTGTCCTAGGCCACGTGCCGAGACGGGTGCTTCCCTCGTGGAGAGCTCCACTCCCAGCAGACACAATTCCTTTAGCCACTCACCTCCTTTTTGGCCGGGTTCACATCCTCAGGCAGCTCCTGATTTTGATTTTTCAGCAGGACTTCTAGAGGGTAATATTTTGGCTCAGAATTCAGGGAGAGGGTTGCATTCCTCATGTCCTAGGTAAGATAAGAACGTAGGCAGGATGAAAGACTGTTCAGGGTCTGTGCAGTTCAAGTTCTGTGTGCATAATTTTTAACATTTTGGCTGATACCACTGCCCCCTTTGTGATCATCTTTTAGAGCAATGATTCCCTAAAGCTGGCTGCCTATCAGAATCATCTGGGAATCTAAAATATTCAGATTTTGGGGTCAGATCTTGGGAAATGCTGATTCAGTGTCTAGGGTAAATCCTGTATAAGCAGCTGGGCTTAACACTGTGCTTAAATCTCATTTCAGTACTGTGATCACAGACCTTCTTTTGGCCCAGTGTTTAGGCTCTCCATTTCCAGCCTTTAAATGACTTCAAATAGAAGTCATCCTGTTGTTAAACGCATTTTAAAGATACTACCTGGCCATTAGCTTTGGAATCCGGAGTTTGTAGAGCACAAAGGATGGAGCCCACTACAATGCCTTCATCTTAAGGCTAAAGAACTGTTGGCTTCCTGGCCAGAGGCTGCCCTTCTTTTCAACATTGGAGTAGGGGCAATGGCCTGAGTTTTTGCGGACTTCACAGCCAGAAACTGGTAAGCACATCATTTGGCTTAGAAGCTTCTTCTTCTTCTTCTTTTTTTTTTTTTTTTAAATTTTATTTATTTATTTGACAGAGAGAGAGAATGAGATCACAAGCAGGCAGAGAGGTAAGCAAGAGTGAGGGGGAAGCAAGCTCCCCATCGAGCAGAGAACCCAACTCGGGGCTCGATCCCAGGACCCTGAGATCATGACCTGAGCCAAAGGCAGAGGCTTTAACCCACTGAGCCACCCTGTCACCCCTAGAAGCTTCTTATTTATGAAAAATACTACTAGTCAGTTTAGTCTGTCCTGAATGATGGAACTGAATAATAAAATTAGTTTTTGTAGTTTTTGTTTGTTTTTTAGCTTAAACAACAAACATTCATTTCTCATAGTTCTGGAGGCTTAGAAGCCCTAGATTAAGGTGTCTGCTTCCTGGCTTGTGGGTGGCATTTTCCCAATGTGTCCTCAAATGGCAGAGAGTAAGACAGCAAGTGCTCATAGCTCCCTTTAAGGGCATTAATTCCGCCCTAAAGGCCCCACCTCCTCATACCATCACATTAGGGGCTAGGGGCTCAACATACGAATTTTGGAAGACAAAATCAGTCAGTCCATAATACCAGGTGATTCCTAGGTTATAATTATTTATATTTATGTTTAAATATATATATATATATATGATATATAATTATTTATGTTTATATATGTATAAGATAGACATATATTTTTAAGCAACAAGTCTATTCTAAATTCTGGAAGGCAGTAAAACGAGGAACTTGGCTTTGAGGCCTGCTTTGCTATTGATTAAAATGACCTCAAATCCGAATAGCCTGCTAGAGTGATACTAAGGAGGACACGATAGAGTTTCGCCTGTGCTGTGTCTGTAGCGTTTACGGTTTCTCCCTGGCTCCAGCTGCCTGTGTGACTTGCTTCTGTCCAAGAGCAAATGCAACTCACAGCAGTGATTCTCGTGATAGCAGCGGCATCTCCCAGCTCTTCTTTTAACTGTTCATAGGATTTTCCTGCCTGAAACAAAAGAGACAAGACAGGACGAGGTGCTGCTTGCAGGGGGAGGGACATCTTGGGCCTCGTCTACCCTTGAGGAAAGCAAAGTAGCTGGGGAATCAGAAGACATTGCAGGGCTAAGCAGAAAAGAAAATACCCCTTTCTGGGTCCACGCCAGGTCAGAAGGTCCTTCAACCTGATCTGCATTTTTTTGCTGGTGTTCCCTAATCCTCCATACAAGACCAAAGAAGACAGAGCAGTTGACTAGGAGTCAGAAAACCTGGCTTCTTCCTAATTGTGACTTTGGACAAATCCCCTTTCCTCTAAGCTTCCACCTTTTTAACATGGGAAGCAATGTTTGCCCCAGCTGTCAGGGTGGTTGTAAAGCTCAGAAAGGAGATGTGTGTGGATAAACTCTCTCAACCTTTGGTTACTTCCACCCACGGCTTAGTCCTGAGACAAGCTGGGAATTCTCTAACTGGACCTAGTGCCATGGTGGGCGGAAAAGAGAAGGACAGTATAAATCAAGGGAGTGGAGGAGGGTGGGGGAAATGTGGTCCTGGATTTATCCAGCCTTTGAGGTGGTACCCCACCTTCCCACTGAGCTATTCGTGCTGAGCTCCTGGGCAGTAGGGAAGTCTCCCCCATTCTCTCTGTTCTTACGCTCCAAATATGAGGGTCCCAGGCCAAGAACCAGCC